TAAAAATAAAACTATTTAATATTAAGTTTGAAAGAATGACAACTAATATAAGGCCTAAACTTACAATAATCTATTAAAATAATTTAAATTATTTTTTAAAAACAATATCCAAGCAGTACATGTTTGCTGCCCAAGTTTGAAAGAAACTCAGACCACTGAACTGCTGGAAATCCTTGAATAGGCATCTGGAACCAGAGTTTGTCCAAGAGTTAACCCAGCTTTTGAGAGCAGTAGTCAGAGAGTAATATTTTCATTTCAGTTTATTCAAGTAGTTCAGTTCAATGATTAGTTCATTCAGAGTTGAGAAACCGATAGGAATTTGAAAAAGCAAGAAAGCATGTTTTCCTCTTCTAATCTATGAATAAAAATGAGGTGTGAGGATGAGATCTATTATTTCTAAAACTTTGAAGGATACAGTGACCAGAAACAATCACAATAATTCTCTAACTATATTTACATAGTTTACATTTACTTCCTTTGTTAATAAGCTGGTTAATTTTAAATGCAAAATATATTTTGATAAATTTTCTTTTTTCCCTTATTATATCCAGCACATATAAGGAAGTTTTATTTAACCAATAAACAATTTTAGAATCCTGGTTTTTTGCTTTTTAATTAAATTTCAATTTCTATCTAAATGTAGCTTAACACAAATGATGAGTAAAATTAATCAGCGTCTAGTAAATAAGAAAAGCATTATTCACCATTGTCTAACATACTAAAAATGTAAAAATTAAGAATCTGAATCAATTTAAGTTATGGTACATAACTGCTTAAATAAACGTGCACTGGTATCACATACCCTCCCGGTTACCAAAGAGCAGTAGCAAATGTTGTGGAAAGGCTGTATCTAGTTGCTAAATAACCTGTTTTAATGGTTACCAAGCAATGAGAATCCACCTTTCTTTAGAAAAATAACTAAAAAGTACAAATGCAAAAGAAGATTAAAATCTATCATTTATATCAAGGTTTCCTGTTGCTGATTTAAATCACGATTAAAATTGGTGTTTTAAATCACCTTCAATCCACCCTGGAGGGATTCAACGCATTGCAACACACGTTGCTGCTTCCCTTGGTCTGGCTGAATCAGACCTTCCTAACTGACTGCATACTCGGTCTTCGTGAGGACATGGTACACGGTGACAGTGCTGATCAGTCACTTTCCCGTCACATCTTTCATCCCGCAGAACATCAGAGTCTTTTGCCCTGAAGTGATGTTTTCTCTCTACAATTTGTAGCGGCTTCTGACATTGACTCACATGCAAATAAATAAATCCAGGGGATTTCTAATGTCCTCCTCACACAACAGACTCAGGTGAAACCTCAAAATCAAAGGCCTCCACATAGCAACCGACATGGAGCTCTGGGTAAGAACCAGGGCTGAGCTGACTCTCCAGGGAGTTATCACATTACTGATGCTTAGAGCATCACATGACCGCAGCACTAGTGTCATTCCCCGCCGCTCATAGGGGCAGATGATTGCGCTTGGATATCCGCCAAGAATGTTGTGTTGTTGTCTATCCTGTGATGCCTTGTAGCTAACTTGCCATGCAATGCTGTCCGCCTTCAGCTCCAGTTTTGTTGTTGGTGGTTTTTTGGTAGGGGCTGGGTGTTAAAGTTAGAGGGAGCAAGGAGAAGTGCATCTCACCTGCCTCTACTGAGACCACAGAGACATTTCCCCCGCCCCCCCGGCAGGAAGAAGCAGCTCCCCTTCCTTGTTGGCTGATGCAGTGAGAGTTCCCCTTCCTGTTTCAATCTATTTTGGCTCCTGGTAAAAGCCCAAGATTCATGTCCTGATTGGCCTGTGAGCGCTGGCCTGGGGCAGTATCCATCAGACATGGAGTCCTCCTTGAGAAGCGAGGACATCTGCTGTTTGTAATACTCTCTTTAGTCCAAGGCCCTCAGTGTAGCCTCATGCTATGTTCTCGTCCTTTTACTTCTCTGGTTTGAATGTTCCATGAAGACACAACTTCTAATTCCTTCCCACCCACTATCATCATTTTGTCTTTCCCCAGACCACTTCCACCTCCTCTTCGCCCCAAGCCCTTTATCAGCAGAGCTCAACTGCTGTCAAGGAGTTTCACGGCCCCCCAAAAATAATTATGGTGGGAGTGTCTACAACTGGATTGCCATGGCTGCATCCTGGGGTCACATCAATATGTGATGACATCACATGGTGGCATAATAATATCACCATATTCAGTGCATTCGCCATCATAAAGCAGTGAAAGGAGTGCTCTCTCTCTCTCTCTCTGGTTATTTTGGGTTCTGCTGCTCCACATCAATCCATCCTGACTGCTCATAGGGGGGCGGGACTGGTGGCTGTTTTTGTTCTTCTGGATGTCAGGTGCCAGCAATTTAGTACATATACTTAATACTCACATGTACCAGGCAGTGGATCTAGCCCTCCTGTGACTGGTGCTCATAACACTCTGAGCCCTGATGGCACCAAATAGCTACACACAGCCAATTGCCCCTGCTTTACATTGTCCAACACACTTATCCCAAGCAGCCTTCTCCAGAAGCTGATTCATTGTGTGTAGGTGACCCTTGAATTAGGAATTGCTTCCTGCTGTTCTGAACTTCAACTAACCATAAGAAGTCCCTATTGTCTGATCTCAAGCTATTGTAAAAAACCCAAATGTCTTCCACATTTCCCTTTATACGTGTGAATACCAATGTCCCAACTGCCTGGTGTCCTGCTGTTCCTTATAGTCACATCTCAGCGATTTGTTCCCTGGTCTGGTATTCTTCATCATCTCACGTAACTAGCATAGCACCTACTCCTACGCTGAACCTCTTCCTGCTCCTGGTGGCCTGTGCAACTTTTTCTGCTGGTCCTTTGGAGATGCCTTGCAAATGACAATGCATCTTAGTCTCATTCCAGGAGAGTGGAATGCCACAAGTGAGTAAAATTACCACAATCTCCCAGTCTCTTAGGCCCTGATTCAGCAAAGCACTTTAGCATGTGCCCAATTCCTTTTGCCTTCAACAGGATTAATCATGAGCGCAAGTAAAGCATGTGCTTAGGTGTATTGCTGGAATGGAGACTTAATTATCTTTACCCTAACAATTATTTTTCCATTCTTTGCCCAGCATTGAAGTTAACTATTGTTTCCCTTTCATTTTCTTTTTTACTCATTTCAATTGGTGTTTGCTTTAGGAATCCAGCATTCTTCTCCCTATTTTCCATCTTACCCTTGGCCTCAGCTCTTTGCACAGACACATAGTGGCTGGTGTTCAATCTTGTCTCTAACATTTGTTATTTATTCAGACAAGACTTCAAATTTGTCTTGTTTCATTATTCTCAGTTTGGGAGTGGTTTTCTCCATAGCACTGAATATATTTTTCCATTTAATCAGTGATTAATTATTCAGCTTCTGCTCTTCAGAAGCTCTGCGTCAGTTTGGTATGTCTGTTTGCTATTCTTCTTTTCTTTGCAAAGCTTTCGGTTTCAGCAATGTTGGCTTTTTAACTTCATGTTGCACTATCCCACATATTGGCCCAATTCAGTAGAGCATCAAAAGAACTCAAGTGTATCCTTAAAGTTAAACACGTGCCTAAATGCTTTCCTGAATCGAGGCCTTCTTCTGTCCAACCAAGACATGTCCATAAAAATTTCAAATGTAATTTTGATTAAGAAGCCTATGTCACTTTTCACGGAACAATCAGAACGTTCTACGGTCCTTGTTTTGTATATGGGTAAAATTTTCAACAATGCCCTGCACACGTTCTGAAGAAACTGAGGTATGCAGGAGCCCAAGTCCCACTTGAGTCAAGGGGGTTTCCTAAGTCTCTTTTGAAAATGGGACTTGGGCTCCTGAGACTCAGTGCTTTTGAAAACATTTATCCGATGTCTTATTGAAGGACATGTCCAATTGCTTCATTTTTGTTTCATTTGCCTGCTTTTCACAAACTGTATTTGGTGCCGGATGCTAAATGGGGTGTTGATGGATTTTTGATGAAGGAATTTCATGTGGTCTCTTCTTGAAAAATTTCTGTGTGAGCTACCAAAAATCCCCAGGCTCATATCTGAATTCCATCTGTAACTCTACCCTTTTGTCCATAGTTTGTGTAGCCTAGTAAACAAATATTCATGGAGAAAAGAATGGGTCTTGACAATAGAACTGTCATTACAACTGCCTGTCCCCAACAGCTGGACTTTCATGTTCAGGTAAAATATATAGAATATTTAATTTTGCAGACTAACTTGTCTGCACTCAGGATTTCCTGGACAGCAATGGTTAATATTAACTAGCTAATCTTTAGAAACATTTCCCCCTGGAAACATCTCCCACTTTCCCATACCTAGTGGGCATAATTCTCTGCTTCTTGACATTGTTAACATTCCAGTAGCAGTAGATTGAGAAGACACCAGTAAAGGGATTGTGGAGCAACAATGAGAGAGTTTTAATATATGCACATAGCACCAGAATTAATTCTAGGTTGGAATTCTACTGACATGCAGTGTTCTTATTCCTCCAATTACCATGATGAGCCAGAGAGTACCTCCTTTTAAAACACACTTTTGAGAGAAAACCATACAGAATCGTTCTTCTTTGTATAAATAATTACAAAACTTAGGTATATAGCAAAAACTTTTTCAAAATGAGGAAGTTTAAAAAGAAATCTACTGCCTTTAAAACTGTCATTTGTACTATTAGGCTCGTAATTATTTAAAGTAAACTTTAACATTTATGTCTATTAAATTTAACTTAATTGAATAAATGAATAGGAGACATTTAAGGTTAGGAAAAATAATTGTTTATGAAACATACATTAATTCCATGAACATTCTTAGAAGTTCACACTTATTTTTTATTTTGTAATAAGGAGGAAAGAATCATGCATTTTTCCCCATGCTTTAAGGCATTTTATAATTGGAATTTATGCCATAACTTAGTTTGTACAGTTATAAGTATATTTAAAGATATGTTAAATTCATCAAGCATTCACTTGTTAAGCTGGTTAAATATAATTATAAATATTCAAGCATTTACCTTGTTGTGACTAGTTGCAGCAGACACCCTTTAAGGTGAGACTCAATGATCTTCGTATGCTGAGCTGAGAAGAAGCCCATGGAGGATTAGGGTGTGTTAAGTCTCTCTTCAGACAGGTGCACAAACACTTCCCCCTTGTAGGTGCTACCTGCTCTTTACTGGACATTTATTACAAGTCAATGCAATTTCACAAAGCACCTGCATGCAATAAAAACCTATTACATGTGTGAGGCCTTAAGGAAATTAACAGTTCCTCCCTAGGGATGCATATTTTGTTAAGATGTTTATTACAGATGAAGTGGTCCTGGGGTAAAACATTAACAAGTTGTAGAGTGATAAAAGGAATTTTATCATTTCTCAGTGACATAAATAGGAAGAAACATTTAACTAAATCTATAAAATTCCTGTTTCCTAATGAATTTGCTTTAACTATTTATTAACTGGATCAACTGCCTGAGGCCACATTTGTTTGTTTGTTTTCAAAAAGCGAAATAATTCTATGACCAAAATCTGCTACCAGAAATAAATCAAGAAAGAACAGTTTGCACAGAGTAAGAAACATCAATAGTCTATTGTGAGATTAAGGAAAGCACAGCTCTAAAAGTCACTTTGCTGTTGTCATATTGACTTAAGCATTAGATGTAAATTTCACCTTCTGTATTAAATTATAATAATAATGTAATAATATACTGAGCTCTGAGCATCATATTTTGTGCCATAGTCCAGCAATTTATTTTTGGTTAGGATTACAAAAGCATATTATTTTTTTAACACCAGATTAACCAAGTTTGTCTGTGCTCCATTATTAGAGATGAAAGCATAGAGTACTGCCTTTGGACTAAGAATGCTGAATCTAATTGAATTATATGAATGTAGTTAAATGTCTACTTCAGAAAGGCTAGATTCACTTTCAAGATTAGTTACTTCAAGAGTTAATGGGCTATTTAAACAACATAGTCCAAGAGCCAAACACAGGTGGGCTGTGTTAATAACTTTATTTAAACCGCTTTTCCCCTTTGAGAGGCACAAGCCATCCATTAATGCATTCATTAGGGTTTATGGCATAGTTCTGCTTTTTTCCTAATGACACTATCCAGACTCAAACTTGCTCAACTAATTTAGCCCAGCTGCCCTTTGCCTCTCAGCAACAGGTCTCTTGTTCTTCAGTCATACATGCTAAAGTGTCACAGTGATTAGTTTTTGTTGCATTGCTACTCTTTGCAATATTGTTTTGTGTATTCTTTGCATCTGAGCCCATCTTTCCTTTGGGTATTTTCCATATGGCTCTGGGGAAATGCCCCACCGGGCAGCCATTGGAAAAGGCAGCACAGCGTAAGAGCTAAAACCAAATTCCCGACAGTGCTTGCATTCCGATTTGATTGAACATAACAGTTTATTACTTTCCTCTAACTAAAGAAGCTAACAAGATTTAATATCCAGTTCTGCTGCAAGTATTTGTAACAGTTCCTTGCTGTTGCCACACCTTCACCAGTTCCCTGACTTTTTAAAGTGTGCTAAACTGAGTCCAAAGATGTTTGTCCCCAATGACGTTAGCGTTGTAAAATATATAATTGGGGACTGAAGTGCTCACTTCCACCAGTAGCTAAAACACAGGTAACCTGTGTCTGTTTAGTAACTAATTCCCCAGGTACTAATGAACATCACAATGAATAAGAATGACCAATGTGTCACTCTCAGATTAACAGCCAGGAATTGCATGTACAGAGTATAGACTCAGCCCTGTCAGCTGCTGAAATTTGCTCAGTTTATTTGGGGACTTGTTATCAGGTTAGGGTTTGCAGGTCTAATATTCCTGGGATTTGGCTTTCAGGCAACTTGTCTCCAATCTGAAATAGCCTTAACTTGCTCAGACCTCAAGCAATGCTGCGACCTCCATTCTGTTTACTGCAGCTGCTGTTCCAGTAAGAGCATATGCCCACTAGTGTGTATTAAAACCTGGCAGAGGTAACTGTCCCAGGGGATGGCATTGGGTGAATTCTGATTGGTGTTTGATAAAATATGTACGATGTTCCCCAAGTTGGCTCTAGTGTTCTTTTTCACCTGAATTTAGAAAGAGAAATCTAATAGTTGATACAAGTATGCAATACACTGTAGGTATAAAACATGGTCTTATTTCTATGGAGGTGAACGATATAAATAAAGAACCACTACTGCTCTACTCTGCCAAGGTCTCTCTATTGAGGCACTTCCGTTTCTAGTGTTAGATTGTAAACTCAGTGGGGCGGCAGATGTCATTTTATTAATCTGTAAAGCACCATGCGCCCACTGGTACTGTATAAGCAATAACAGTAATGGGTGCTGCCTATTGCATTGCTTTGGGAGAGACAGAAGTATCCCCTTCCGGCAGGTGTCGTCTCGCTATTGCGCGTGGTCTCTGGCACCTCGGACGGAGACAGGGGCAGCGTGGCTTGTTAGTAGCATGGCAGTCCAGGCTTGGAGGTGACTGGGGTTCAACCAGCAAGACAAAAATTGTGCTGACTGGCTATGGGGAAATGGAAGGGGTGCAGTGTTTTCTTAGGGCCCATCTGGCATCTTTATGCTGCTGCTCCGAGCAGGGAGCCAATATTTGGAACCTGGCAGAGCTGTTTCCACTGGGATGGGGAATCGACAATACGAGTCAGGTCTGTTCATGGTGTCACCTTGTTTATTTACAAGAAACGTACACCCAGTCCTGCTTCCCTGAACACACCGGAACAAACAGCGGGCAACTCCTTGCTCAGAAATCCCCGGGGCTGCCGTGCCAAAGAGCGCTGTGCCCAGGATGCATTCTCCCTCTGCTTCCTGTCAGGGTCCTGCTCACACCCCTCACGGCTTCCTGCCTCCAACACACGCAGCAGCTTCTCAGTCCTCACAGCTCAGCTCTGATCTGCCATGAACAGTGCAGAGCCTTGGGCGTGGCCTCCATGGTCTGCAGTGGCCTTTGCTACGTACAGGGGCTAAATTGCTCCTTCCACTGGGTCTGAAAGAGTGCTTGGCCCCAGTGGCTGTAGCGAGGTCTGTGATTATCTTTGGACTCCCCCGAGGGCAGTCATCAGCACCTTTCTGTGTAACACTATAGTCTGTATATGCAGGACCAGCCCTGACGATTGACTGCTGATGGAGAACTCTCGGTGCATAGCAGAACTCACTGGACTTCCTACACCAGCTGCCCCCAGTCTGCAGTGGAAGGGGTCATGCCCGGCATTCGGGGGCAGTCTGTGGGTGGAAAGAAGGCCTGATGGAGCCAAGCTCTGATATACCTGGTCCTCTACGGGCATAAAGTCCATCCTTTATATCCATGGCATAGACAAAAGCAGGGCCCTGTGGGGCCAGGCAGCTGTGGATCAGGGAGCCACAAACAGTTCCCTGTAGCCGCCACTCCCTACTACATCTCCATGCAGCTCAGGGCCAAAGAGATCTGTTAAAGTGTGAGTCCATGATGACTGGTGACTATGGAACAGTGGAACTTCATCCACCCTGCTCTCTGTATGTATCAGAGCCAGGGCTACTGACATCACTGATAAAGTAACTGGTTTGTTGGGGGAGGGTCTGCTTTTTATTGTTATTGGCCAAAACCACAATGGGGCAAGGATCCAGCTTCCATTCTCAGTCCTGCAGCTCCTGCCACTTTGGCAGAGGGGGGTGAATTCCGTTCTGCCTTGTGCATCGGTAACAGAATTGTTAATGATGCTGTGACTGTGTTCTCTATTGCTGGTGCTGCTGGAGCCAGAGCCAGGGTGAACTTGTAGAGACGGCAGGTAGAAAATCATGTGTTACTTGTCAATGGAGCAGATTTGATCTGGACAATAAACACAGAACCACTTTTTAGATTAGAACTGCCCTCTTGATGTGGAATAGTCTCCCAAAGGAAATGGGGGAATTTCACTACACAGGACACTGAAAAATAGACTGGCCAAAGCCCTGGACCTTTTGTGGGCAGGGGGACAGAGTGGGTGGGGTAGGTACAAATGGCTTAATGCTCTAACTTCCAGGTGGTGTCTTGTATATGCTGATGATGATTTGTACTGCAGCAGTGCCTAGGGGCCCGTGCCCGTTATGCTAGATGCTGTATTATACTAACTGAACTGCACTGGTGCTCGAGGAGCAGAGCCCCTGCCTTGCTGAGCTCACAGTCTTATGCAATACAAGACCCGCGTAACAAAGGAGTGCATGGAAGGAGGAGTGTAACACTCAACCTCTCAGGGCTGCATGGGCCAGCCCTGTGCCCAACAGAGTGGTTCTAAAGCACGTGAACAAGTATTTCAAGACAGCTGGCGGGTTCCTGCGTGAGCTCTGGGGAGCTCAGGACCAGGGGCGGCTCTATGTATTTTGCCGCCCCAAGCACGGCAGTCAGGCGGCTTTTGGTGGCATGCCTGCGGGAGGTCCGCTGGTAACGTGGATTCGGCGGCATGGCTGTGGGAGGTCTGACAGTCCCACGCCTTCGATGTACCCGCCGCTGAATTGCCGCTGAAGCCGTGGGACCGGCGGACCTCCCGCAGGCATGCCGCCGAAGGCAGCCTGACTGCCGCCCTCACGGTGACTGGCACGCCGCCCCCCGTGGCTTGTGACCCCTGGCACGCGCTTGGTGCACTGGTGCCTGGAGCCGCCCCTGCTCGGGGCAGGGCTGCATAGGTGAGCAGGGTTGCAGGGATGTGAGGACAGGGCCTGTTCAGTTCTCTTGCATGTTCTGAGGGTGAGCACAGCCCCCTAGTGTCAGCACCGTGCTCAGACTCTGTGACCTCCCCTCCCAGTGGCAGGAGCTGCAGGCCTCATTCCATTCCCCCATCCTCCCCTCTCTGCCTGTGCCCCCCGCATGCACCACACGCAGTCAGAGCCACAACAATGGCTGTGACGCTGGGTTTGAACACTGCTGCATGGCTTCAGCTCCTTCTCCTGGAACAAGAAACATTCCTTGGCAGCACTGGGCTGCAGTTTTGGCAGATTTTCTTTAAGCTTCTGCTCTGTGCCCCTCCCAGCTGAATGGGGGGCTCCAGGCCTGGCTGTTTGGTTGAACAGAAAAGCCTGAGGCAGTGAGGTGGGCTGGCCAGGACATTCCCCTTCTAGCTGACAGCTGGCTACAGAGCCCGTCTCTGGGATGATGGGAGCTGCCTGAGAGCCGGCAGCATGTGCACTGCAGATCCCTTGTCCCAGTGTGTCCAGCTCAGACAGGGGGTCATAAGGTTGTAGCCACAGAACGGGCCTGTGAGGGGGTGTCCACCCCACACTAGACTTGAAGGGGTTTAGGGGACCAGGTGGGCCAATTAACTCCAGAGGCTGCACCTGGAGGCGGAGCCAGGGAACAGGTATTAATGAAATGAGGCTCAGCAGGACTGGAACGGGAGGGGCCTGAAGACAGCCCAGGAGCTGAGAGCAGCTGTGGGCTGCAGGGAAGCAGTCTGCAGTCGCTCCCTGGGCTTTTGGAGGGAGTTTGGGCCGGCAAAGCCAGAGAAGGGAGAGCCGCAAGGTAGGAGAGGCTCAGGGGAAAGGCAGCAAGGGATGAAGTAGTGCAGCCTTTCGCTGCTGAGGAGAGGGCCCCTGGCTGGCACCTGGAGTAGAGGGGGGCTGGGGCCCCCTGCCAACTCTCCACTGTGGAAGTGGCGCAGACGAGGCAGTGGAGAGCCAACTGCCTGGGACAGTTTGCCTTGAAGCTTTTGATCCCCAGGAAGGGAAGGACCATAGTGACCGGGCCAGAGGGCCGAGTCACGAACAGGCACTGCAGCTCCTGGAGCGAGAGGGGCCGCAGGGTGAGAGAGGAAGATGAGTGGAGAGACCCCCAGAGGAGGGTGCAGCACCTGGAGAGAGCTAATCCCAGAGCGCCCAGGAGGAAGCCCTTCTAGCGGTGAGTGGATCCTGTGACAGGGCCACAGAACTGAAGAAAGGAAACAGATGAGGATGGATTCCTCCAAGCGGCGCAGGCTGCGGGAGCCAGAGCTGCGGTAGGTCTGGCCATGGAGTCGGGGGTGCAAATGCCTGTGTCTCCGTGGGGAGGAGCAGCATAGGCATCCATTCACATCTGGCGTTACTGCCACTCATTCTAAAGGCTGGTGTGGGAAACGACGGCCCAAAGAGAGGAGTGCAGCCTCCTCCGAGCTCTTGGCTTGACCCACGCTGATCCCAGCCCCTCACAGAGTGAGGTTTCTACATGGCAGACAGA